GGGCGACGGGGGGCGAGAAAGGGGGGAAGCACAGTAACGGCTCAGCAATGCTGGAGAAAAACAGCCTTTTGCTGAGTAACACAGAAATGGATCTGAAACATATGGATTGAATTCCTCTGAAAACAAACATAATTTTTAAAGGAAAGGAAAAGTACTTAGCCACGATGTTTGAGGTTTTCCTGAACCCGAACCTTTGGAAAATCAGCACACGAGTGAATTACTCAGAGACTGTAAGACAGTCAGCTTCGAAACAGGCCTGTCATAAACCACCAGTTTGGTTTTTTCTCTGATTTTGTAATAGTTTGCCCAAATCAGCTGCCCCCTACTCATCCCTCCTGTTCTCTATAGGGAGAAGCTCTGCACACCACACCCGCTGTCAGCCTGGGAGGCTCTGGAGAGCCGGGACTCGAGGAGACTAAGCTGGGAACGACAGGGCCAACCACACAGCGAGGACAAGAGCCCTGGACAGAGGGCAAGTAAGTGATGCCCTGGGCGAGAAGCTAGATAAAAGCCCGAGGTGCCAGGCGGCACCAGCTCCGCACCTGTGAGCATCATGTCTTCACCTCACCTGCGGACACCGTCACCCCCTCGGGGGAGTGATAGGAAGGAGAGCATGCAGCACGGTGAGCGCCAGGCACCAGCCACTGCATCCAAGGGGACAGTTCAGGATCACCGCTGGCCACCCCCTCGACAGTTCACTGGCATCAAGGGAACCAGTGTCTTTCGCCACCTGTGCCAAGAGGTCAGGGTGGCCTAGGAGCCAGCCTAAGCCCAGCCCTAGGAAGGAGAGGTTGAATCCCCACGGTTTGGGAGTCAAGCCCCAAGTTCAGAGTGTTCCAGGTTCCATGGCAATGGGGACTGATGCAAAGACCCCTGGACGTGAGGCCAGATGCCCCCACACAGGAAGCCTGCTGATCACCCACGAGCATCCGGCCTCCCCTGACACCACTCAGTTCAACAGGGGTCTTCCTCTGCCCTTTCCTCTGCTGGGGTCCCCCCGCATGCCCAGTGGAATTCTGCCAGAGCTGGGGTGCCCTCATCACCTTAAATCAGTCGTATGATTGTGCTTTGGAGCTGGCTATGCCGAGAGGGCTTCTTCAGGGGTCTAAGGACGGGGACCGCTGGCATCGAGTGGGGGGACTCCTCGCTGGAGCTGCCCCCCACCATCACCGTCTTCCTTTAGGGGTATTTACAGGAGGCAGAGGAGCCACCCCTTGAACTGGATCCCTCCGCCGCATGCTGGCCGGCCGACCCATTCTCGCACATCTGGCTTACAGGCCTGTGTCAAACCCCACAAAGACATCCCGCGCTCAGGTTCAGCTGCCTCACGTCAGTGACAAGGGATGCAAGATCCTGACTGGAATTTGTCAAATCTTACACCCTGGAAATGAGCTCTATTTTTTTCTTGCCAGTATTTATAGAATCTGAAAAATCTTAGGAGATCAGACAAAATCGACTGACAAGGTTGAAAATAAAAAGTCCATTTTTACAAGCTCACGTCTCATTTTCCTCCTTGGTGGTCAGCGACAGCTTGAGTTTTGTGAACCAGCACCTGTCATAGCTTTTCCCACTGGACTCCCATGGACCCCATATTTGTTAGATTGTCACACAAAGGATAATTCTGGTTTCACATCACTGAAAATTGTTGACAGAGAAACCGGCGAGACTCCCAGAATATTGAGAAGACATAAGACACAGCAAGACAACCCACAATAACACTGAGGTAGCACCATTAGCCTGACTGCCAAAGGCAAAGGGAAACCACCCAGGTTTGCAGACTGTACCATGGGAACCCACAGAGCTCCGTGCGGCCCCGAGGGCCTCGAGACAGAAACTGAGCCCCCGCTCCTTAACTGCTCTGTAAGTTGAAATTAGTAATATTTTGTCGGAACAAAAAACGTTTTATGGGTAAAGTAATTTTAAACCACTGGTCTAAGAGGGCTGCTGTTGCCCAGAAGGACTGCCTCTTCTGCCAGGTGCAGCCCAAGGTCTGGGCAGGTAAGCGAGCTTACACTCCTGCGGGAGGTACGGAGCTCCGCACACCTGAGGGGCTGCCCAAGGTGAGGGCTTTGGGCCTGTCTGTGCTTCTCCCCGTGCGGGATGCCTTCTGCCCTGCACACCCTACATCCCCTTTCCTCCCCACGAAACTCCTGTAAACTGCCAATCCTTCCGGGCGCACCCACGCTCCTGCTCAGGAGAGCGTTCTGGGATGTCCCGACTCCCCTGCACCTGGCAGGCCCCTGCCCGCCACCCTACCTGACCCATCTGTCCTAGCCCTCCATCACACAGCATGGCAACTGGGCTTAGGCGTCTGCTCCCCTCACTAGACTGCTGGTTCCGGAGGGCAGGGACCGTTCCATTCTGCTGCCCCAGTGGTTAACACAGGGCCTGCCCTGTAGAACTTCTGCTTCCGGATGTAGCAGTGGGTGACATGATGCAAATGCACAACTGCCTCTCGCACTGACCAGAAGTCATCTGTGATGACCTGCTCTTCCTCACAGGAATGGCACAAGGAGGCAAATGCGAGCTGCGGGAAGATCACTGAGCTTTCGATTTCCTTTTCAGGTTCAAAAAACAAGATGTGATCTTTAGAGTCAAGTAAAGTTGTTTAAATGTAAACATGCATTCTCAGTGTCTGGAAGCAGAGTGACATGAAATCCCCAAGTGATCTCTTAAAACCACCGAAATTACATTCAAATGCCTCCACCCGGCAAAGATAAATTGCCACTTGCACAATGGGCTGGCACTTAAAAGTAACTTGGTGCAGAGAGCTTCGGAAAATTTATTATGACAGGGAAAGGGGAACTCAAAGGGGTTCCAGATATTTAGTCTACTGATAATTCCAATTTACAGACCAGACAAGAATTTGAAGGGCCGTTACAAGGTCATTAGGAGGACACTGGCCAGCTGGGCCCCATCGAGTTGGACATCAGAAACTGACTTAAATTACACCAAAAAGACTTAAGTTAGAAAATCAGCAATGACGTGGAAAGCTCTGTGGACCAGAAGCATCACCTGGGACCTCGATAAAAATGCAGGTGCCCAGGCCCCGCCCCAGATCTGCCCAATCAGAACCTGCGTTTTAACAAGCTCCCCCGTGATCCTGGAAAAGGCAAAGCAGTGCGGCAGGCTCCTGGGGAAGCCCGCAGCCCTCCCAGAAACAGGAGAAGCGGTGTCTGGCACAGATACTTTGCATACCAGAAGGACCAGCTTCAAGCCGTGCGTTCCCTGAAAAGAAAATGCATAATGGCTAAGCTGTTCTACGGACAGCTGAGAAAAAGAATCACAGAGTTTTCAAAAGCAGTTGTCTGGTCAAAGCACTTTAAACCGAAGTCATATCTAAATCTATTATGTGACTGCTCTTGCGGAAGATTCAAAGATAAGGCCTCAGCGATTTCCCGGAGCGAGGAGCCAGACTGTCCGGAGCTGGAGAGAGAAACCTGCTCTGCGTGAGCGCCGGTGGGGCGAAGCCGGCCTGCTTCTGTCCCCCAGGGCTCCCTCACCTGCAGGGGTGGGGAGACAAGGATGGGTCTGCGTTGCTGGAGCCAAGCTGAGCCTAGAGATGGGCCCTGCAAATGAGCAGCGCACAGAGGAGTGCCAGCCCCTCTCCTGCTGGGTGGGGAAGTGTGTTTCCTGGCACCGAGGGAACTAAGCAGAAAGCAAATGTATATTTGATGACACTTCTCTGCTTGTGGCCTCCCTTCTGAAGAGCCACGTTTGAACAAAGCTGGGCACCAGAGCAGACAGAGGCAGCAAAAAAAAAAAAAAGACCGGGGGAGAAGGAAGCTATGATGGCCCCGGGAAGGAGTGGGCTGGGACAAAGAGACGCAGACATCAAGAGTCACGACGTTAAGCACCACCGTCCTACCCAGCTTAACGAGGTTTCGATGCGCCAGACTCTCGGACAAGGAGCTCAGGGCCCAGCTGCACAGCTGGCAACACAGTGAAAAGGCAGTCAGCACCGAGAAGCCGCCCCCACCCACGGCACTCCCGACCGCCTGCTGACCTAACCCTACATGAGAGAGCAAGAATGTGGTCTCTGCCCATTCTCTGCTCGAAGGAAACTGGGTTGTCTCCGCATGATGGCGAGAGCCAGGCGGAGGCGGCAGCAGATGCAGCGCCGCCACGAGACCAGACATCCAGGTGCTTGCCCTCACGCGGGCAGTGAGATGCAGCCTGCACTGCTCGCGGAAACGAGACCTGTGGCTGCAGCCCACAAACGCAGCACTCCTCCTTTCAGGAGCCCAGCCCACATGCTCGCATCTCTCTTTTGAGCTATAACTACCAAGGTAAAACGCATTTATCCCACCAAATTGTGCTGCTCTGCCAATACCACAGAGGCACGGAAAGGGGGTCACTTAAGCAGGGGCTTTGAAGGAGGCTGAGAGTCCCCAAATCCACCCCGCTCATCCCATGGGCCTCCCTCACTGAATGCTGTACTTGCCATCTGATGTGTCTGTCCCAGGGGCTCAGACAGAATGCTACCAGGCCTCCAAGACCCCTTTCTACCTCTCGTGGCAGTCCCTCCCCACATGGCCCCGTACTGCAAGAGTGTTCTGTGGCTCAGCAGTTGTCCTACCAGAAACCGGAAGCTGCGTGAGAGTCCAGAGGAGACAGCCAGGACTTGGAGGTCAGCCAGGGCCCATGTTCTCCTTCTCCGGTCACACTGCCAGCGGGTGAAAGAGGACTCTAGCACCTGTGGCTCCGCTGCTTTCAGATGGAGGGAGCTAAGATTACTTCTGATTTGCTAAAAAAAATAGAGAGAGAGATGAAAAATCTAGCACCAGAATTTGAAACTTGCACACACGTGCACACACACTTTCTCCCTCCGTCCTTCTCTCTCTATCTCTGTCTCTGTCTCTCTCTCTCTCTGGAGAAGAAACCTAATTGTAAGATTGGGCCCATTATAACTCCATCATCCAAAATTCTGTGGTGATTTCTGTCAGACGGAACCCTAAAGGGGGAGCTGAGAGGAATGTTCACATCCTCCCAGGACCAAGTAAGTGGCCAGTGCTCCAGGCAGACCGTCTCGGTGAGGTGGTGAGGATCTCACAGCTCAGCAAGGCTCCGGGCACAAAGGAAGAAATGTGCTTCCTGCACGGGAATGACCACTCAGGGTTCCTAGACTGGGTGCTGCCCAGGACAGCGAGAGCTCGCTTCATCCTGCAGCTGCAGGCCACTCCCCATCGAGACCCAAAAGAACCTCACCCCCAGCACGACAAGGAGGCCCCTTGGAAGGACCTGCATTCTTCTGAGAGAGAGACCAGAAAGAATTGATCAGTCGAACCAGAGGGAAGTGATGATATTTTCAACATGGCTTACTTTATCGTGCCTCCAAGTGGTACGGGTAGGAAAAATAGGCGACTGAGTCATCTCACACAAAAATTCTTCTATTTATTCTTGAATTAGGTTTTTTCTTTTTTTCTTTTTTCTTTTTTCTTTTGGCGTATTGATCAACTTCAGCACTTTCGTGGGTTCCATCAAGTTCTCGAAATTGAAAATAAACTGGAGATGAGGTCCCTATGAAACAATGATTAGGTTAGAAGAGGGAGCAGAGGGCTGGTGAACATAAGTCGAAAGAAATGCACAACTGTCTTTAAAATACACCTGTGATCGCCATCACTCTAAGAGCGTCTCTGCGCTCGGCATTGGGCGAAGTGATTTAATTGTGCCGCTTAATTCTCATTAGCAACTCAACCAAGGAGACTGTGTTGTCAGCAGCTTACAGATGAGGAAACAGGCACAGAGCTTAAGTGACTTTCAAAAACTCACACATGCTGTCTCATCCACGCGTGTTCAAAAAAAAAAAAAAAAAAAAAAGCAGCTTGACTGTTTTTACACTCCATGGACCTTCATCAGTCACAAACCAAAGCAGACCTTCTGAATTTCTTGCATTTTGAAAATGAAGGAAGATTCACACTTCTCTATATGTGGAGATGACAAAAAAGAACCCCAGCCAGCATCAATTCTTATGGGGGGGGGGGCGGCGCAGAACATGCTTAATTTGCACAGATTAATCCCTACAGGTTCTCCCACCCATTTCTAAACAACCAACAAGAAAAATCATCTAGTGGGCTGAAGAGGAACCGCTGGAAGCTTCTTTAAGAGCGTCAAGCACCTTTAAGAAAACAATTATGATCAGAAAAGAGCTTAGCTGCTTTTGCAAATGCACCCAAACACATTCTCTATAAACTTACCCTATGTGAGTCTTCTCCATCTTGTCACTGTCTCTGTGAAACTAATATATCTGACCAATATTTATTTACTAAATAATTTAGCAAAACGGAACATGACCCTAGACCACGCACAGAAAGCAATTTGAGCAGCGTCCCTAGTTCAGTTTGGCATCATCTCACTGCCCCTGTCCAATGCTCTGAGGGGCCCCGTAGTGACACCATACTGCAGGTCCTGTACAGAGCCCAGCAGCAGCCTGAGCCAGGACCTGGTCACAAACCACAAGCTCCCTTTATCCTCCTGAGTGGCTCATGCCGCCTTGGGACAGGATACCGGGGACTCCCGCACACCAGCCGTCCCTGTCCTCCTGGCCTGCGCCCCAACCAACGCCCTGTGTCTGGGAGGAAAGCGCGCGACTTCCTGAAGACCCAGGGCCACAGACCCGGTGCGGAAGCGGCTGGGAGCTGTCCATGGTGGCGCCGCGCCTGGGCACGCAGAGCCGCCGGCTCCCCGCCCCTCGGGCGCGCCCGGGCTCTCTCCAGACTCCGGAGTGGAGAGACTCGCTCCAGGCTCACCATCTCCGGGATGGGGCTGCAGCCAGGCGCTGGCTAACACATCAAAAGGTTAGTTTAAAAGGGAGTTCTCACCTGTGGGCAGCCTTGGCTGCACGGAGTAGAAGTCAGGACCTCAAACCCGGCTGCTGGCGGTGCGCCTGGGACGGCCGGAGTGTCGGACCCTCGGGGAATGGCGGCGGTCGCCGAGGGCGCTGAGAGCGAGTCTGCGGCTGAGGGCCCCAGCACACTGAGCACCTTTTTCAAGAGCACTTGCGTCCCGCCAGGTCCATTCCAGAATGTTTCTGGCCCTTGTCCTCAGCGCGGTGAGCTGGAGACCTGGCCTCGGCCCTGGCCTTTGCTCAGCGAGGTCCCTGCCTTTTCTCCCAACCCAATTCAACCCTTCTTGGAGCTGACGTTCCTTGCCAGGGACCACTGAACCCTCTTCCAGCGATGCCAGGTTTGGAATCTCAGTGAAAACATATGCAGGGACCCTCATGCCATCTAAAATTCAATTGCCTCCGCCCGGTTCAGGGTCAGGGCCACACCGAGTGCCCAGCACTGTCAGGGAGTGCGGGAGCAGGGCTGCAGTGCGAGGCGGAGGGGGGACCAGAGAGAAGAGGGTGCTGAGACCCAGCGGCAGGGCGCAGACCTGTTGCCAGGTGCACGCCCACTGGTGCACAGTGGGAGCGGTTCTCTGTCGGCCAGACTCGAGACCTGACCCTCAGAGCAGTCCCTCGGAGGACTCTGTCCCCGGGCACAAGGGTCCCAAGCCATTCAGAAAGGGGGACTCTACGGAAAGCCAGGATCTGCCCGTCGCTGGATGCACTCCGGGGACACTGGCGCTGCCAGTACCTGTCGCTTGCAAAGGATCACACAATTTCACAGAAATACACAGAGGACAGTGACAGGGGCACGTGCCCATCAAAAGACGCGCAGACAGACAGACGGACAGAGGCGGACTGCACAGCACAGAGTGGACAAACAGAAGCTGATGCCGGGTAACGCTTTCCCCGCGACGGGTGGAGGCGCCGGAGCCCGGTCTTTCCCTCCCCTCGGAGGCTGGGCGCTCGGTGCAGCCTTGCGCGCCGGGCCGGCCCCCTTACCTCCCGGTCGGTAGCTGAGTCGGTACCACGCCTCGCGGGCCAGGAGCGCAGTGGCCGGCGTGTCTCACAGCAAACTGCTGGGTCTGCGAGCTCCCAGACCTGAGCAGGCGGAGTGGCGGTTCGTCTAGGAAAGTGGGGTTCAGGCCCTGCTGCGCTCCCCAAGCTGCTTTGCTCGCCAGGCTTGGCTGGACCTCCCCGCGCTCGGCTCTGCTCGGCTCCCTGCTGCCCAGCCAGCGCCAAGCTTTATAGCTGCTGTGCTGCTAGGCGGGCAGCGCCACTGGCTCCTCCCCCGCGCCCCTGACGCCCAGCCACCGACCCGCC